ACAACAGAGAGTCCCTGATGGAGCAGGAGAAAAGTGGCGTGCAGAACTCAAATTCTAGTAAAAAGACCAGACTTAATGGTCTGACTGAGACTGGGGGAACTCCAGAAAGCATGGCCCCTGGATTCTCTGTCAGCCCAGAACTACAACAATTTCCAAGGCCAACTCTTCAGACAGGGATTGGAATGGACTATGGGACATAAAGTGATACTCGTGAGGAGTGTGTCTCTTAGCTCAAGTAGATACAAGAGACTAACCAGGCAGCTTCTGTCTGGAGGTGAGATGGGAAGGCAGAGAGGGTTAGGAGCTGGTTGAATGAACGTGGGGAATCGGGTGGAAAGGAGGAGTGTGCTGTCGCAATATGAGGAGAGCAATTTGGAGCATATAACAATGTTATGTATAAATTTTTATATGGGAGACTAACTTGAAATGTAAACTTCATTTAAACTACAACAATAATAAAAAAAAAATTATTAGACTGGGATAGAGGTTCTCCAGAGCCCCTTTCAGCCCTATGATGATAAGTTTTCATAATAATAATCGTTACGTGGGACTATTGAGGGAAGCCTTCAATGTAGAGGAAGCGTTTGAACTGAGACCTGAAGAATGGATGTTCAGAAGGCAGAGATGGGGGTAGGGTGGGACATAGGTAAGTGCTTTCCAAGGCCAGGGACAGTGGTAAGGAAGACAGACAAGTAGAAGCAGAGTTTATTTAGGAGGTTTCAGTAAGGTTCAGTAAGGTTTCCAGTAAGGCTGGAGTGTGTGTGACAATGGGGAGAGAGGGGAACATAGTATCGGAAAAGGGTAAAAATTGAGGTCAGATTATGAAACCTTGAGTACTATGATAAACAGTCTGGCTTTTTATTTCGCCTCTAGGGAATCAAAGTTGGTTGGTTTGTTTATTTTGTAGTAAGGTTTATGCTTACCTGATATATTCCTATTTCTAGAAATAAACATACCTACGGCATGTACAAGTACGTTATTCTTCTCAGAAGTTGAGGATGCCACATTTTATTTATGTAAAAGTTTAGAGATTTAGTTAAGGTTCGTCATCATGAAGTATTTGATAGTGTTTGCTTCTACTATGGAGCATAATAATAATAATAACAGCTGATATTTATGAAAAGAGCCCTGGTGCACAAACAGTTAAGCACTTGGCTGCTAACCGACAGGTTGTAGGTTTGAATCCACCCAGCCACAACGCAAGAGAAAAGACTTGGTGATGGCTTCCATAAAGATTACAGCCTAGAAAACCCTGTGAGGCAATTCTACTGTGTCACATGGGGTCAGTATGATTCGGAATTGACTCAGTGGCACCTAACACCAACAACAGATGTTTATGAAGTGCTTACGAAGTGCCTAGTACTATGTTAAGCATTTTATACACAGACTTTTTTTAAGTCATGTTTATTGAGATACAATTTACCTTCATTGCAGTTTGCCTTAGGTACAAGTCATGTAACCACTACCGCAGTCAAGATACAGAATATTTCCATCACCCCAAGCAGTTCCCTTGTAGTCAATACCCTCTTCTCACTCCCAACCCATGGCAACCACGGATAATGATTTCTGTCCCTTTTGTTTTGCCTTCTCCAGAATGTCATATAGTTGGAATCATACAGTACATATTTTGAGTCTAGCTTATTTCACTTAGCATAATGCTTTCAGATTCATCCATGTTGTAGTATGTATCAGTAGTACAGAAGTTTGTACCTTTTTATGGCTGAGTAGCATTCCATTGTATGAACATACCACAATGTGTTTATCCATTTACCAGTTGATGGGTATTTGGATTAGTCCAGTTTTTGGTAATTATGAAACAGACTGCTATAAATATGTGCACATAAATTTTCTCTTGTGTAAATATCTAGGGGTAGGATTGCTGGGTCATATGATAAGTGTACGTTTACCTTTGTAGGAAACTACTAAACTGCTTTCTGTCTGTACTATTTTGCATTCCCACCAACAGAGTATGAGAGTTGTTGTTCAGTATCCTCACCAGCCCTTGGTATTGTCAGTATTTTTTTTAAGCTATCTAAAGTGTGTAGAAGGAGCCCTGGTTGTGCAATGGTTAAGAGCTCAGCTGCAAACTAAAAGGTTGGTTGGTATTGAACCTACGCAGTGGCTGTGTGGGAGAAAAAACCTGGCGATCTGCTTCTGTAAAGATTACAGCCAAGAAAACCCTATGGGGCACAGTTCTACTCTGTAACACCTGGGGTCGCCATGAGTTGAAAATGACTTGTGGGCAACTAACAACAACAGATTGACTCTCGAGCCAGTGCTGTTTGCCTGGTTTTTTTCTTTGATAATCTAGGAAGATTGATTTCAAGTGGCCTTGAATAGAACCAGGAATCCAGTTCCTATAGGTGGTAAAATAATGCTAATAAGGGTAGCCCGAGGCAAAGGGGCAATATATTGTAATAGCAACTCTGGAATCATCTTAGGAACAGCTAAGGTATGTTTTTGTTGAAGAGCAGTAATTATTTTCACTTTAAGTCTCTCTCACTTATGTATGTAGAACTGATCCACATACTGGTAGCTAAAAGTACTTCTTTTAAATTACATTCCAAATATCTGCCATTATCAAGTAATGAGGTGCTTTATATAAATGGATTTTCTCAGTAGCAGAAGCATATTCTTTTAGGTATTTGTACTTCATAAAATATCCCACACGCTTGAAGTGATTCACTTTGTCTTTTAACGTTTATCATAATGCTGACTTCAGGGCACTCACTGAGTGGTGACCTACTTAGGGAATACGTAGAACAACATATTGACCTATGGCTTCCGATTCCAGTACTTTCAAATTATATTTGTTTGTAGTTTTATAGGGTTGTTGTTTTTTTTCCTTCTCTAATTATCAACTGTCACTTGTTTGTTCTAACATCCTTTTACTGTTGCCATTTTTTGTCCCTTATAATTTCTATTTCTAATAAGCTAAAAGAAGATAATCAAATTATTAGACTTGCATGGCTATTGCCTAAGGTAAGTTTCAGCTCCGGTCAAGCACTGGGGGGGAATTTCCAGTGAACTTCTCCCATGACTACTCAGAGGCCCTTCTTTTTGCTTTCGTATTTGGTTTCTGAATATCATTCTGGAGCTAAATTAAGCTAACATTTGACAGTAGAGAAAGGGATGCATTTTCCTTTTTAGCATAATTCTTTATTAGTAAGTTGTTGAAACGTGATTATTTCATAAAAAGCTAAACAAACCAAGCAGTGTTCAATGGTGTGGAATATATAGACACTGGGCAGAAAATCTGTTCACAATCATTATGTTTTGTGGCAGTTATAAAGTTTCTTGTGAAAGTCAGTGACATCTTCTTGTCCTCTCAGCTGTGCCTCTGGTAAGGCAGAATGACTATTTCCAAGTAATTATCTAACTAAATTTACTTTTTGAAAAATATTTGAACAAAGGCTGTCTAGTGAATTGCACTTGGAAGTGCTTAATGCTTTCAAGCCATTTTGATCAGTTTGAGCTCTTGGAATAAATTGGTAAATATTCACCTAGGGACCAGGGTAAGTAGTTAGTAACATTTCTGCTGCTTGGCCACTTTATCAGATGTATGGTGAGTTGGCAAGCAAGGCTTTCTTGGACGCATCTTTTGTTGGTGCGCCGTTAGGGTCTACCACGTATGGTACAGCAGAGCTTTAGCAGGGTGCTGACACATGGTAGACTTTCAGTGTATACGGAAAATTCTATTCAAAAGGAAAAGAAAACTGTGGTTATAAACTGTGATGGCACTGATAATTTTTAAAAAATAGGGTTTTATTAAGTTTGCCATTCTACCTAAAAGCATTTTACTATATTGCACTTTAAAGTTCCTTTCTAACTCTGAGCTTTTTTTGTTTATTCTATAAACCAGATTAATTCAGACTTGTTTTTCCACTGAACTTTGAATTTTCTAGTGGATTTTATCTGTTTAGTGAACTTATAAATCTGCATCTGGTATTGCAGTTTGCTGGCTTTTTCAGATTATATGGCAATATACCCCTTTCATATAAGGGTTAATGAGTAGGCAGGGTAGACTCACCTGATTGTTAAACTCACCTTATTGTTGCTTTATGAGCAGAAAAGTGGCTGTTTCCTCTCTATACCCTCCCATACTTTTTTCTTTTGTAGTTTTATTTACTCATTATATTAAAATAATTTTTAAAAATTGAAGTTTGTTTTTTACAACAATATACAGTTTTCAGTTTAGCTTCCTAGTAGATTCTTATTCCATTTTATTGTTAATTTTAAATTATGGTAATTAACACAAGCTGAGTAATTTTTTAAGGAAAGTCTTTTCCTTGGCTGTCCCTCCCTCTTTTCCTCCGCCTCTCCCCTGTTTTTACCTGCAGATTTGCATGTTTGACCTCTCAGAATAATTGGGTCCACAGCAACATGGGCGTGTCTTCCTTAGAAACACTTGGTTTCATGTATGACTCATAAGCCAAAGCACAGACACCACTTCCCCAATCTACAGGAGCCATTTTAACAGCATAAAAGTTGCCGGATTGCTTTTTATTTTCAAGCCCAAAGGACGATATCTAAAGAGAAAGACAATATTTAAAGGTAACTTGTTGTGGGTTTTGTGTGTTTGCTTCTGGCTATTTCCCCGAGCTGATAAACGGAGGTGGTTCTTTACCTGTTGAAGAACATGGCTGAATGTGTTCTTTAACTCTGATAAAATGTGTGTAGTCAGTCACATGCCTGATTACACTTAACTAGTAGGGGGAAACAAAGCATTTCAATTCCGGAAAGTTTTAGGTCTCCTTAGTAAAGCATTTTTTTATGTTTTGTGATATATATATATTTTTTCCTGTGTGACTTGAGAATGAGAGAGATTTTTTTCTCTTTTGTATCAAAAAGCAAAGTAGGTCAAATTTTAATAAGAACACATCCAGTTTTACTATTCCTGTATGATACAAGGATTAAGAAAAAAATTCAGGTGCGGTAGCTTTGTTTTGGCATTTTAGTTAAGGGTGAAATTTGGGGGCAACTCAGTCGTAAGTGTTGTTCTTTGACCTTTTTTTTAAGTTAATAAAATTACACCAAACATTTACTTCTGAAAACTAAGTTTAGGAAAATAAACAAGCAGTTAGAGAACAAGTAAAAGTGAGTATTAAAACAGAGGAAGAAAAACTAGAATGATTCATGTACTATTAAAAAAATAAGGTTTATAATTGACACTGGAAACATGTTCTTCATAACAAACTTAGAACTACTACTTGCCCCTAAGGAAACGTGTGGTAGAAAGCAAAAATAAAGAATATTGGCCTTCCATCTCTACTGCTGTTCTTAAATTTTGCTTGTTTCAAATAAAAAAATTTTTGAAACTTTTTGTGAATGAAAAAATAGCTCAATCTTTTCCTGAAATACTTGTCTTAACTGATATTGTGAGATTTCGGCAAGTGTACATTCTGGTGTGTCTTGAAGTTTTAGGTACTCTGAGAAGCTGGGTGCAGTATTATTTTACTTTTGAAACTTATTTATAAAAGTCACATTTGAACATTGAATAACTAGGAATAGTTTTTGGACATAAAACTTGGCAAGTCAGTTATTGCTGACTGTAGGGTCGCTATGAGTTGGAATTGACTCGATGGCAATGGGTTTGGTTTATAATATTTTTTGCTAGTCATTTGAGGATTTGCTGGTATTAACTGAGTGCTTGAAGCCTGTCAGATGAAGGGCAAGGTAGAAAGGAAGTCAGTTATTAATTCTAACTCTTTTGAGAGGATTGTTGATATTAACAGATCTTAATATTGTGGTTTTACAAGAAAGGTATGGCAGAAATTTACCAATTCAGCTCTGAGCAGTTTGCTATCATCTTTGTTTGCATATTGCTGGTTTAGTCAGCCTTTGAGCAAGCAAAGGCTGTATTTACTTCCAGTCTGGTCTGTGTGAAAAATCTAATGAGAGCACTTTGGATTTTTTTTTTTTTTTTGAGTTTTTAAAGGTCAGTGATTCTCAAAAAAAAAAAAAATCAAGGAGTACACAAACGAGTAATATAATTAAGATTTTATTTATTAAAGAGAAGTAGAAAAAATAAGTTTCTTAAAATTAACAGGCTGGTACAATTTAATAGATACTGGTCATATATTTCAGTTTCTTATTATGTGAAGAAGACCCAGGTGGGGCTTCAAGGAGACAGGAGGGAAAAAAGCAAGGAAGCAAGGGAAGGCCAGAAAGACTTAATAGGTAGTCCCCCTCCCTCCCTTTTCCTTTCTTAAGTTTGTATTTAAGTTTAAACTAAGTCATCAGAATTAAACTTAGAATTGCCGATTTAAGGAACCGCAGTGCTAAAAGAGACTGAAGGTGGTCCAGCAACTGCCTCACTTTTATAGATGAAGAAAGAGATCCTGTGACTTGCTCGCTCGAGGTCCTACAGTGCTTAATGGGAGAGCCTCCAATTGGGAGCTGCTCATGCTAGTCCACACCAAGTGACTTTGAAATGGTCTGCATTTCCTTAAGAGTAAATAAAATCTGAATTAAGTTGCTTGGTGGTAGTTTTGGTAATAAGGTACAAATGAATTAACCAATAATTTTGAGAATGTGTTTATGCTAGCTTCCCTTTTCGTCAGAAAGAAGATGAAGCATTTAAAAATTTTCTACAACAGCTTTTTTACACTGTTAGACTTTTTTGATAGTTAAAACATTTGTCTGTGACATTGCTTCTTTAAGATGGGCCTAGAGAAGGTGGAAACAGAAGGATTTGGGAATTTAAGTTGAATTTGTAGATAAAAAGACAGGTTTATATTTCTGCTTTAATTTTTCTTATTTTAAGAGAGCAAATACTATTTAATGTGCTGATACCTTGTTCTACTAGTATGTGTGTGTGTGTGTGTGTGTGTAACTTCGCATACGGGTTTAGAAAATCTAGAGGTCTCTAAAATTAAACATTGTACTTATCTTGAATTTGACCTTGCCATGATTAGTAATCTCATTCTGTTTGTCTTTGTCATACTTTCTCTCCTTGAGAACTTGCTCTTACTTTACATACCAGGCACTTTTAGAATTTTCTGAGAAATACAAACTCTTTGTTAACTTTTTGGTATGTTATTATTGGGATGGTTGAGATTTACTTTGCATCTGCCTGTTGTTGTTTAGGTCTGAAATTTGGATTTTTTTTTTTTAATTACTTTACATATAATTTTGAGTCTTCTAAATTTCTGAGACTCCTAACCTAATTTAACATCAGATCCTCCACAATGGTTATCATCGTTCTAAGGAACACGGAATTCCTGGGTAGCACAGATGGTTAAGTGCTGGGCTACTAACCAAAAGGCTGGCAGTTTGAATCCACCCAGAAGTGCCTCTGAAGAAGGACCTGGCAATCTACTTCTGAAAGATCACAGCCATTGAAAACCCTATGGAGTGCAATTCTGTTTTGAAATACCTGGGGTCACCGTGATTGGAATTCACTCAACAACAACTGGTTTGAGTTTATTAAGCAACAGACAGGGCACATAAGGCTAAAAAACATGGGCTCTATCCTCATAAACTTAGATTCTTATTGGGAAAACAGGACTTGGTAACGTAAATGAAATAAGTAAAGAACAGAACCAAACCACTGAGTAGTTAAATTCAGGTTTAGATTGTTTGCCTAGAGATGAGAGAGGACTGAGACTTAAAATAGTCAGGAAGGTTTATAGATCTTGAAGGAAGTATGAGTATTGGTGAATAACAGCATTTGCCTAGGTTAAGTAGACTGTTGTCCCCATTAATAAGAAAAAGAATATAAAGTCTTTGAGGTCAGAAATGTTTTATTTCTCTGTATTTTCAACTAAGACAAAGTACCAAGCCCATATGAGTAGGTAGGTATTATTTACTGCATTAAACTCTTGGTTACTTTTTGTTGCCATCTTATATGACAAACTCATTGGGCATATACTGCTAAGGTTACTGAAAACAAAGCAAAACAAAACCCGTTGTCGTCATCGAGTCAATTCCGTCTTACAGTGACCCTACAGAACAGAGTAGAACTGGCCCATCGGGTTTCCAAGGCTGTAATCTTTATGGAAGCAGATTATACATCTTTCTTCCACGGAGCAGCTGATGGGTTCAAACCACTCACCTTTCACTTAGCTGCTGAGCTAAGGTTACAAAAAAAAAAAAAAAAAAAAAAAAAAAAACCTTTCACCTTCGAGTTGATTCCAACTCATAGCAACCCTATAGGACAGAGTAGAACTGCCCCATAGGGTTTCCAAGGAGCAGCTGATGGATTCGAACTTCCAACCATTTGATTAGCAGCCAAGCTCTTAACCACTACACCAGCAGGGCCCTGTCTGCACACATACCTATGAACTGACTAGGCAACGCCCTACATCTAGTTTTCTCATATTTCTCCTTCCTCAGTCAAGGGTGATCTTCTCTTCTCCCAAGGCTCATACCCTGCTTTTTGAATGTTGGTAAGAATGTAATTGATATTGTATCAGTTAGTATGTTTTCAGTTACATATAGCGGAAAACTACTTGTTGAAACAGTGAGTAAATTTATTAGTTCACGGAACTGAAGTTCAGAGGCTGTGGAGATTTCAGGTTTGCTTTAATTCAGTGGCCCCAGCTCCATTTTTCTACAGTTCCCTTTACTCCTTCTTCCTCAGTGCACCAGCTTCATCCTCAGCTTGGTGGTGGATGGTGTACAGCAGTTCTGGACCTCATATCCAGCCTCAGTTGATTCAGCTGTGTAGATTATCTGCTTTTAATGATTACCAGTTGCCAGTTGCCATTGAATGCACTCCTGACTCATGGCGACCCATGTAGGTCAGAGTAAAACTTTGCTTCATAGGATTTTGGTATGCTTCTGAGTGGACTTGGGCGCCTCTGTGTGAACTTGAACCCCTAACCTTTCGGTCAGCAGCTGAATGGGTAAACCATTTGCATCACCCAGGAACTCCTTTTAACAATTAGATACCTGAAAAACTCTATCTCTGAAGTTCATTAGCTTATTGAGTTGTTGATAG